AAGCGTAATAGAATTAAAAAGTTCTTCTTGTCCGGGATTGCTGAGAATGTTAATGATCAGGATATTCTATGTTATTTGGAAAAGCGAAAGGTAATACCAACATACTTATCTCTATTTAAAAGTAAACGGAAAGGTTCAATTTCTGCTAAACTTCATGTCCAAGCAAATGTATGCCCCTTGATTGAAAACGAAACTTTTTGGCCCAAGTTTGTGAAATGCAAACCGTGGAAACCAACATCTACTGACGGTAGAAACGACAGCCCCCCAGAGGGAATCCTTTCAACGTATGTATAATGGCTCAAATTCCCATTAGAATGTCTCCGCGATGGCAGAGGATTAGGGGGATGAGGCGTAATCCTCAAAATATAATACCCGTAAACATTTCGCATGCAGTCAACCCAAACACCGTAATGAATAACCAAAAACATTCATTTCATAACAAAATAAAGTTATCCCATCTCAACGTGCAGTCAATTAGAAACAGAAATCATTTAATTCAAGTACGAGAACTAGTCGTTGACGAGAAAATAGATATCTTGGCATTATCAGAGACATGGCTAAATTCGTCCACGACTAATGCCGAGGTAAAAATTCAGGAATACAACATATACAGACTTGATCGTAAGCACAAAAAGGGTGGCGGCGTATGTATTTACGTCCGTAATGACTTCAAGACAAAAGTTTTGAAAAATCTCTCGTATATTTCTCCAGTAGGTTTCCATCAACTTTGGTTACAAATACAAGTGAATAAAAACAAATCTATGATCGTTTGCGTTACTTATAGACCACCTGACTGCCCGGTTACATGTATACGGGATGAACTTAAACCTAAATTCATTGAGGCTTTGTTATTAGGAAAAGAGATCATTATTTTGGGCGATATGAATTGCAATCTCCTTAAAACATGTTGTTATGAGTCTAAAATATTATTAGATACTTGCTCCGAACTACACCTGACACAACTTATTAAAGATCCAACGAGAATTACATCTCAAACAAGTTCATTACTTGACGTTATTATGATTTCGTCCTCCTCTAAAGTTAAAAGTAGCGGGGTTGTTGACATTGGTATTAGCGATCATTCTATGATATACTGTACACTTAAACTTAGAGCTGATAAGCCTCGACTTGAATACAAGGATGTGAGGAGTTTTAAGAACTACAACTCCGAGAGTTTCAAGGCAGAACTGTCTCAACTTCCGTTTCATGAAACCTATCGTATTAATGATGTAAATGAGAAAATTGATCATTTCAATCAATTGTTCATAAGTACTCTGGACAAACACGCGCCTATCAAACACATCAGAATTAAAGGCAGACTTAACCAGTTTATTAATAAAGAATTAAAGTGCACGATGAAACTGAGAGACAAAAAGCTGAGAATTTTTCGCCTCTCACGTAACGCGGAAGATTGGGACGTCTATAGGCAACTTAGGAATTCTATAAAAACATCTTTAAGAGCAGCAGAGTCCAACTTTGTCCGGAATCAAATTGAGGAATATAAAGGTAATTCAAGATCTATGTGGAAAGTGATTAGGGGGTGTCTGCCAAGCAAAGATTCAGAAAAACCCGTTTACCAGAAAGACCACAAAAAATTAGCCAATGAATTTAATGAATATTTTGCTTCTGTGGGGAAGATTGCAGCCGACAAGGTCAAGAGACTTGCGGAAGCTAACAACATTCAGATGACAACTGCTTTACCACCTGCAAGACACCGATCTTCTCTTGATCTGTTTGAATTTAGAACAGTCACACCTGATGAAGTTAGAACAATTATTTTAAATAGTCCATCAAACAAAGCTCCAGGTGCCGATAAGATAAATATTCAATTCATTAAAGATTCACTTGAAGTGATTTTAGATCCTGTTACGGATATTATCAACTGTTCCTTGATGACGTCAACATATCCTTCAATGTGGAAGATAGCAGAAGTGGTACCGCTACACAAGGAAGGGGATCCTGAAATCGCTTCAAATAATCGACCGATTTCACTGCTGTCATGTTTGTCAAAAATATGCGACAAAGTCGCACTGAATCAGTATACAGAACATCTAACAAACCACAGATTATTGACGGGACATCAAAGTGGTAACCGGAAAAAACATTCTACCGAAACACTTAACATTGCAGTGACAGACATGTTGTTGGAAGCTATGGATAATAAACAGTTATCTATAGTTATATTGTTGGATATGTCGAAAGCTTTCGATAGTGTTGATCACAACATGCTTCTTCAAAGAACTTTAAACTTAGGCGTATCTTCTGCACTGCATGAGTGGTTTAAAAGTTACTTGTCTGACAGATGGCAGTATGTTAGGATTGGAACTACCTTTTCGGCGCCCGTTGCATTGTCGCACGGAATTCCTCAAGGCTCTGTTTTATCGCCGTTTTTATTTAATATATACACAGATAGCTTGTCTTCAGTTCCGAACAGTTGTAGTCTTGAATCGTATGTTGACGATTCGTAAACATTTTTATCGTTTTCATTGTCGCATATGGAAAACTCTTTACTGCATGTAGAAGAGGATCTACACAGAATTTTTGAATGGTGTTGTAACAACAGTCTTCTTGTAAACCCAGAAAAGACCAAAATGTTGGTGGTTGGTACACGGCAACTCATGAATCAATTGGAATCTCCCATCCATATCAATTTTATGGGAAAAAGTCTTACACTTGTGACAGAAGTTAAGGATTTGGGTATGCTTTTAGATTCCCATTTGACGTACGACAAACATATACAAGCATTGTCCTCATCGTGTATCTCAAAATTGCGTCAGATTGGTCGCGTGAAAAACAACTTTGATCAGTCAACACTAGCTACAATCATCGATACATTAGTCATGAGTAAAATTGACTATTGTTCAACAGTATGGGCTAATACGTCAGATGGTAACATAAAAAAGATCCAATTAATCAAAATTACGCAACCCAATTAATTACAGGGGTGCCTAAGTACGATCATATATCACCGACATTAAACGCGTTAGGATGGTTGTCAATCAAAGAACATCTATTGTACAGAGATGCGTTATTAACATTTAAATGCATGAATGACAAAGTTCCACAGTATTTATGCGATAATTTTGAACAACGAAACAGAATTCATAACCGAGATACTAAAAGAAATGGAGACCTGGATATTCCAAAATATAGGACATCGATCGGTCAAAGATCGTTCAAATACCGAGGGACTAAGATATGGAATGGTGTAGATACAGAGCTGAAATCAATTAGTGATTTGAACAATTTTAAGACGAAACTTAAGACAATTTTTATTGAGAAGCGATGTCTTTTTTCTTCTTAACTTTTTTAACTTATAAACCATAATATATAATATAATTTTAGTTCGCGTAATAAATTTGATAAGATTGTTGTAAATATATATAGTCGATAACTAATAATTTCTTCTAAAATCCATGTAAATTGTCATTGAAAAGCCCATTTTAGGGAATGTCAATTAATAAATTCAAATTCAAATTCAAATATCAAAGCAATAGCTACCCCTATGTAGGTGATTATGCTGTTACCACTAGATAACTCGATTGATTCCGCTTGTTTCTTCTTCTTGTCCCTTTCTGCCTTACTGAGGACCGCTAGTCGTTTCCCTGCCTCTACTCTTCTAGGGTCCTTCTTTTTTTCACTTGTTGCGGGGACTTGCTTTGTGTTAGGTTCGTCAGCCACCCTATATATGAATACCTTAGGTTTAACTACATAGATGTCTACATAGATGTCTACATAGATGCTCACCCAGGGAATTGCTTAAAAAACGCCCGACAATGTTGTGGAGCTTCTTTTAAATTTTTTTTTATCACCATTCTAGTACTTGTGACCTGTGAACTTAGGTCGATAGAATGCTGTTGCTTCACCAAGTTTTTGCTTAAGCATGTTACACTGTTTCTTTAGTTTCGCTGTTTCTTTCTTATGCTTTACTGTCGGATCTTCTCTGAAGTACTCATCTATCTGCAGCACTATGTCTGTGTAGTCATTGGAGATCAATGTCCTGTGCCCCTGTTCACATAGCAACTTTAGCCAGACCACTTGATTTCCCTAATTTCACCTGTACCTTTAGGAGTCTTGAGTTCAATTGCAAATCCATTGTAACCATTCATTGGATTCGTTATTATAAGATCTGGCTGAGCACCTATTTATCCCTTGCGATATGCGTCGCATTTACGTTGGACAGTATCTTGGTACTCACCTAGCCCCGGTACAATTAGCGCATTCGGATGGTACTCCTGATGAACCTAACAACTGCATAATGTAGATCTGTCTCATTGAGTAGCTTCAACTGTTTGCCGTAAAGGAACTTTGGTTTTGGTAACTCATATGACCCCGTCTTATGAATAGTTGGAAGAACATCACTGAATACCCACCTTCTTGGCTCCTTTGTGCCCTTAAGCTCGGACCAGAATATTTGTTGGGACACACCCTGTTCGGTAATGGGAATGGTGTTTGGTTGACCTCTACAAACGGGTCTCTCAGGGTTACCCCCTTGAAGCTCCCCTAGGGTACACTTATCCTCTTCCCAGACATGAGTCTGAATGGCTTTTTTAGTGTTTGAGTATCCCAATGATTCAGCCACATCTTTTACGTAGAACAGTACCTCCTCACCCCTCCTCACAGTTCTTACGCTTACGTTAAGTTTTCTATTTTTGAACAATTGTTCCTCCCACCTTTACCCTCTATTGAAGAAAACATCTTGTCACTTTCCCTATACTATAGTGGTCAAAAATTTTCATTGCATTTTATTCAGATTTTTATATATATTTACAACTGCCTTGACTGTGTCGGCTGTGAACGTTCCAGGTCGTACTTGCGCGCCCCAACAATCTTCTCCAGTTCTGCGATCCTTTCCCTGTCCTCCTTAGTCCTCTGAATCAGTTCGTTAATTATGTCTTCGGATTCTGTTCCTTCGCAGACGAACGGTTCTCCGCTTTGGGGCATTCTGTATGTACTACCGTAGGTTTAGACCACTTATGCTTAACCACATGTTTTGCCGTTGTACAGCCACCTGATATGAGTCCTATGAAAGGGATACTGGGAGATATCGTTCTTGTGAGGTATGCCACGTCATCCTTCAGGGGTTTATCACTAAGTAGTTCCTCTGATAGTTTCTCTGATGATTCCACTGCATTTAGACTTCCTAGTACTGACGCAAACTTGGAGATAACGAGTGTTGATAAGAAGTCACCCGCAAATGACATTCTTTCTTCCTCATAGTCATGGTACAGTTTCTCGACAACACCCTTATTGGCTTTCCTTATAAAGTTTGCGGATTTCTTCACAACGCCATCCTTCGACAATTCAATAAGTTTCTCCCTTTTCTGTTCAGTTTGCGACTTACTTGCGGTGGGCTTCTTTTTTGGTAGCAACTTTGCGGCTTCTTCCACATCTCTTAATGCGGCTTCAAATAATTCGTCATCAGATTCTGCGGTAGCCATCTATATGTTACGCGGTGTTTAGCGGATAGTGTAAGTGTAAGGGTGAATAAGTAGTATATCTAGTGCGGTGAACTTTTCATCTCTCAGGATATTTGTGATTTCTGTGATTTTCTTCTGTGGTACATCATTTAGGTAATCATCTGTTATGACCTTCATATCTTTGAGACTGGGGTTGTAGAATGTAACTAGCCTGGAGATGTTCTCTCTGAAGGACTTAGCTACTGAGAATAATTGTTGTGTAAGTTCAATGACAGATGTAATACTTGCGGAGAATGCTAAGCGCACCAATTCGGAAACCCTTTTCTTCACAGCTTTACTTGCCGCGCAGTCGTCCACTATGATGAGAATATTAGTTCCGCGGAATATGGTGGAATCCGCCTTGAGAACATGGTTGATTATCTCTTGTGAACAGGGAATTTGAATAACCCCGTGATCGCTAAGGTGGCTCCAGTTGAGATAAGTTGTATTCCATTCTACTGTTGGACATACAATGATAATGTAGTCGAAAACTCTATTGTACTCTGTCTCTAGCATGTCAAGGAGAAACTGGGTTTTACCACTCCCTGTCATTCCAACTATAAGCATGTTGAACGGCGGTTGAGGTTGCATCTCTATGTGTTACCATTAGTATTGAATACTTGAGAGATCTCTATTGGCAAAGTTAAGGAGAGCATCTGATACAACAAAGATGTTGCATTGAACGTCAGCTGTTGTGGCTCTCTTTTTGATTTCCAGTAATACGCCAGACTGTGTGTTAACTATCTTCTTACCTCCCCCAGTGGTGTCATCCTGTGTTGACCTAAGATCGATCACTAGAGCGAAACCGTTGCTGAAGAGCTTGCTGATGGACATAAACTCGTCAGCCATTGATTTCTCGCACGAAGGGCAGAAGAATCGCTTTGCCTCTTCAAAGAACCTGTTTTTGGGAAGACCCTGGGAGAAGACAGCATTTGGCACACCCTCAATGGTTACGTTGACTTTATCAATTTTTGGGTAAATGTACTCTTCAGAATCAGTCCTCACTCTATTGGTGAATAGGAGGACAATTGCTGACATGCTCTTTCTGGGGATATTAATGTTCTCATTGACAATGGTAAGGTCCTTGTCCCATTTACTTGTACGCATCAGTGTGACGTGTTTGTAGGACAGTGACCGGCCCGTTGAATACATCCTTGAGACCTCACTTGCAAGGGTGTCATTCTCAATGGTCTCGTATTCTAACTCAAGATTGTCCAGTTTGTATCCATCTACCTGTTCACCTCCTTGTGCAGTCATAATCTCATCTGCTTGGGGGAGTGTAAATCGGTTTTCTCAGCTTAGAGCCGTATACACTGTGGAAAAGTGCGTCTGCTACTTTACCGACATCACCTACCTTTACCCCTGAGTCGTCACCTGATATTAACTTTCGTATGTTTTTGCTTATGAGGCCCTGTTCGGTCATCTTTTTCCTGTCACCTAGTGTTAGCCATAGGTCTTTGAACACTTCGAATAGACTTTCTCCTAAACAGTCATAGGCAGTCTCACCGGCTACTTTTACTTGGAGACGTTTCGCTAGCAGTTTAGCAAGGTTATTTCTGAATGCTGCTCTTTGTGTTGGAATTATTGAAGTCAAAGAGAAGGGCAAGTTATCCGAAGACTAGCTAGGCAAGACGAAGGTTTAAGTTTTAGAATATTAATGTACAGCTCTTCACCTGGGCTAATAGTTGTTGGATTGAATGTGACAACACTACTGGTTCGAAGTCCTTTGATGGTAGTCATACGGCTCCTCCTGAAGCCAGGTTTGAGTTCCGTTTCTGTGGTATTCATGTTTGTATATAGCATGTAATATTTAGCGTTGTAAGTAGTCGTACACAAGTAGTGCAGCCGCTATAGCTAATACTCATAAATTTGATGTTAACCATGCAGTACCTTTGCCACTCCATGATAGTGCCGTTGCAACTGCGTTCAGGACTGGCACAAGAATTGGAGCACCTTTTTTAGCTAAGTTGGCTAATGCTTTTGCTATTTTGCCAGTTGCCTTTGCTGCCCCTACAATTGCTCCCCTAACGTGGATTAGTAAGGCTGTAATGAGACCTGCAGTTGATACTGCTATTCCAGTGAGTCCTACCTTTTCCTCCACTACCCATTTTACAAATTTGCGGAATCTGGAAATATCTTCTTCCTGTGCATGTCTACCTTCCTCCATTTCTTTTTGCATGATTGTTCTATCTCTTGCTTCCCTAAGAGCGATTATTCTTTCTTCCAATCTTATGAACTCCTCTGGTTCATCCGTTTCGTCCCTTAACTCCATTGTTTTATCTATTGTGTCCTGGAAGTATTCTACTTGTTTTTTAAGTGCACCATCTTCACCTGTTCGTGTTTCCCAGTCCATTGTATCAGATGGGTTAAGTACACCTCGGAGTTCTCTGTTTTCTTCCGGAGTTAGAGCTGGGATGTCGTCCTCTTGAAGCCTCACATTTATGAGCTCAATGTCTTCAAATGTATCGTCACCATCAGTAGGGTCATTCAGTTCTTAGTGTTGTAGCTCTTACTTGCTAGGTTGCAGTGAATGCTTACAAATCGTAGACCATTGTTGATGTCAACTTTGCTGTCACCTGTTAAACTTCTCCCTTTTAGTAAAATCATGGGTTTAGTAAATCTTCTAAGTCCAAGCATTTCCTGCAACTTTTTACTTAATGTCACATTATGTTTTGTTGTCTCTATTTGACACTTAGCTGTTTCCCTAAATTATGTTAACATAACACCGCTTCTTTCAAGTACAGCTTTAATATTATCAAATGTGTGGTATCCCCTTTCAATGGTTACATCTGTTTCTCCATCACCTGTCTTCACAGTGATTAAAGTTGTTTGTTTTGTTACATTGAAATACTCCCAGAAAACGGATACTCTCTTCACAAAAACTGAATTGTAGTTGCTTGTTAGGACTGAGTTCTGTAGTGGTATTACCGTGTGGGATCCCTTAGTAAGAATTGTAAACTTCATCTTAATAACATACGTTAGGTTATTAAGATGAGGCTAGGTGGAGGAAAAGTTGGTAAGTCGCCGTATCAGTCGTACCAAGACTATAAAAGAAAGTATGGAAAGGATATTGATTTGAATGATAAAGAGGACTATGTTGATCCTATTGCTGGTAAAAAGGCTGAGGACGCTGAGAGGGCTAAGTTTAAGGCAAAGTATCCTTTTGCAGATATGAGGAGATTTAAATTTGAAGCTAAGGCTACCAATCGTGGTGACTTAGGAGTTGTTACATGGTTTGTAGATCTTGATGGAATTACTTCTTTGGATATAAGATATGACGGCTTTAGGGGAGATCCTGAGTACACAGCGTTCTTGCGGGCATTTGATCCATACCTGAAAAGTGGGGAAAGGGACGCTGAAGCTAAGGTCGCAATAAGATTTTGAAAGATCATCCTCAAGCTGATATGAAAATGTTCGATTTCCAGGCAAGACCTACCCTCGCCGGTGGTTTCTATGTTGGAACTATATATAAAAACCCTAGTGGAATCATGACAAGAAACATTACAGGTGAAGGTATTGGTAAAAATAAGGAGTATACTAAGTTTCTCAAATTTATTAATAATTCATGATAATTCAGCCAATGATAACCACCTATTTGATCACAAGATGCCATTTGGATACTTGATGAAAGTCACTAGTGTTTTTATCAAATATCTTAATTACGCATGCAAAATTACTTGAATAGAATTCCTAATTACGTTATGCTTGGTTAAGAATTCTATTGAAATCAGCAAACGAAAACATTCTATTACGTCTCGATTCATTTGAGAAGCCATATAAACAACTCGAGCTCGTGTCTCACCGGGATATCCAAACACTCGAAAACATTGTATGAAAACACTCGCGCTTCGCCCTCGTGTTCTCATACATTGTTTTCTCGTGTTTGGATATCCTCGTTGTTCATATATTACATCTTACATCTGGAGTTCATAAGGAGCATCAATTTACTACAGGCATTAGATGGCCTCCTATTTGGACATCTGGGAAGGGAAAGGGATACGGGGTTAATCCTGATGATACTGTTGATGGATAAAGCCATTTTCCAGGAATGAGGTGGTCTAAGGATGTCAACAATTTTAAGGTATATGCTGATGCTACAAGTTCAATTAATAATACTGGTGGTGCAGGTGGATTTCTTCTTCCAAGTGTGAAGAATTCTGTTACCATTGATGATGTTGACGTAAACTTCAACTATAATTGAAGCTATACTCTGCCGCTCTCTGTGGTGCATACATTGCAACGCAATTTAGTGGAATTTACCACCGATCATCTGACCTTCACAGACAGAACCTATCCTGTTATCACCAGTGTGATGAATTTCCATGTTTACTACTGCATTATGAAATATGTGTATAACCCTGAAAGGATAAAACCGTATTTGGACAAGCTGGGTCCTGTAAAAAGTCACATTCCCGTTGTCGGTAAGTGGGAAAAGAAAACTGACACTTATAGGATTACCTACGACAAGGGACTTAAGTATGAAAGGTCAAGTTGGCTTAGGGGTAGAAAAAGTAGCAGTAATCCCGTTAGGAACGTGGTGGCGTCTTCTATCAATTCAGTCAATGGGTTCCTGGTGAAGATAAAAATTAGTTACGAGGAGAGGGTTTCGGCAAGATTAGTAAGTAAGTCTGACTATAAAAGGTTTATTGCTGTTGATTCCTTTGATGTTCCGAAGAATATTAGTGAGACTGGTCTCCTGTTACTGAATGAGTCAGTGCAGGCATTCATGTATTCCGTGTTGGGTGCACAAGCATCGACTAGAACTGCAATTGTCGGTGAGCTGGGAAAATCGTGTTCTACCCAGGTAAAGTTTAGCAATATTGTTCACAATTGTATTGTACAGGCTGATCCCGTTGTGACTTAACAAATATGAGAAAGGCTATTCAGGACACAAATGTTATTCTTAATACCGCTATAACACCTGGGATAGTTTTGATTCCATCTAGTCAAATAATCTTGAAGAATCATATTATGGGATATAATAATGTGCTTGTGAATGCTACCAGTAGTATGAAACGTGGAGTTAACCTAAAGCTTAATTATGTTGGTGTAAAGAAAACTGATCTTCCGAAGAAACAGCATCAGGATACTACACCTGTTAATCACCTTGACACTCTCGGTGAAAATGTTACATCCTCAGTCATCCCTAGAAATAATAAACTATCTGTGCGAAATAAATCGGTTGACTCTAGTGTTAGTGCTGTACCTGGAATTGGTATTGGATCCGTTACTATGTTCCTCTTACTGAGAGTTATTGTGTAAACATTATGTATGGTATAAAAATGGCTCTCTATCTGGGATATATTAAAGGAGCAAATAATGTTGACCCATCGGGTGGAAGTGTATTTAATAAGAATGGATTTACTATGAAGGGTGATATTGAGATGAATGGAAATGAGGTAAAAGGTCTGGGTGCACCAACAGACAACACATCTGCGGTTACTAAGAAGCGGGTGGATGACGAGATTGTTAGACAGGCTGCTGTTACAATTCAACCAGCTGGTTTTACAATGACTGGGGATATTAATATAGGAAATAATAAAATCGCTAAGCTTACCACAGGTAGTGACTTTGAGGATGCCGCTAACGTTCAATATGTGGACACTCATGTTTGGAATAACTATCTGAGGTTAAATGGTTTCAACAGCATGAACGGTGTGTTGGACAAGAGCGGTAACGAAATTCACGGACTTCCTACTACAGCGAGCAAAAGTGACAGTGCTGTTTCTCGGTTTTAATTCCAGCAGTGGGCTCCCAGCAAGTTCCTCGCGTTGGACGGCTCCAGATCAATTTCAGGTAATATCAATATGGCTTCCAATGAAATAAAGCCTTTAGGTAATCCCACAACTGTAGGTCTGCTGTCCACAAAGAATGGGTCGTTGGAATGCTAAACAGACCTGTCACTGGACTTAACATTGCTGGAGACATTGATATGAAGGACCATGAGGTTAAAAATCTGGCTGATCCCACAAAGAATAAATCTGTTGTTTCCACGGGATGGGTTACCTCGGGGTTTACATTGCAGGGTGATTTAACTGTTGCTAATGGGAATTCAATTTACATGATCAACAGGCTCGGTGCAAAAATAGTTGTCCCTGATATTCAAACTGTTATTAATCAAATATCGCGTTTCTCTCTTAAATTGGATGGTTCAAATGCAATGACAGGTAGTCTTAAGATGGGTGGATTTGAAATTGAAAATATTGGTGCTCTAACAACTGATGCATCTGCTGTTACCAAAAAGTGGGTTGAAAATAAGATTGCCGGTGGGCGTAGCAGGCGTGAAACTTACAGCGGATTGACACTGAGTGATAACCTTGATATGGCCAGTAATGAGATAATTAAGTTGGGCAACGCCACAACTGATAAGTCTGCTGTGTCTAAGAAGTGGGTTACTGATCATGTTAGTGGAAGTTTACTAAATAGTAGCGGCTTCACTATGACAGGCAATATTGACATGGGAGGACACCGTATAACAGGACTTGGAGTGGGTTCTGAGACACAGCTGTACTGTCAAGTAAGACGATAGACTCTTGGAGGTTACAATTTGTGAAGCGTAATGGTGGTACAGTAGCAAGTAACCTTGATGCTAACGATTTTGAGATAACTAGGGTGGCTAACCCTACAACTAACAAGTCAGCTGATTTAAGTGGTAGTGTAGATCTAAGAGATTCTGTTAATGCTAAAGGCGCAGTGAACAACCAATGGGTGGAAAATAATTTCCTAAAACCTTCCTCAGATCTTGTATAAGCGACAGCTGATAATAGATATGTTAGAAAAAATTCACCACATTTATTCACAGTGGATCTGGGGTTATCGCGGAGTATCAGTTGCAGCAGCAAGGTATTATGCTTACTGTCAAGATCAGATTCCACCTTCATGGAGAACAGACTCTATTAACAATCTAACGAACATCAACCTTGAGTCAATTACTATTAAATCAGATTCCCCACTTCTTTCGATCGTTACTAGAGTACCCCTAGAACTCATCCTGTGGCCTATCGTATGGGAAAAGTAGTCTAACGGAAAATTTACACAAGCCAAAAAGGAAATCGTTCTCGGCACAATCGACTTGAGTAGGCTACCACACACTTATTTCAACGGAATTTAAATAAGTAATGGTGGAAGTACAGCTTGCTACGTCTTCAAGGGTAATAGTAAGTATTACCTGGGAAACCAAGCCGAGTTGGTGGATAATACGCTAGCCTGGTGTGCCATCGTCAAACCGGAACACTCAATGCCTACTGGCATGAGTATGGACATGTCCTTTTGTTGGTCACTGTTGTGTTCAGGATCTAGTGGTGGATAACATTTGTTGTATTATAAAGTATCATGTCAGAGTGACGCTCATGC